TTCTCTTTAAAGGACACCACCCGAAAAAGGATAAAAGTAGTGAAATAGATAGAGGTTTTTCTGTATTACTATTTGATAAAGTCAAGAATTCGTGTTAGAAAACAAAATTACGGTGTCAAGAACTTTTCTATAAACTTTCTATGTACTTTTTACTTTAAATGTCATTATTTCTTACTAGATCTTTAAAAGACTAGAAAATATTACAATTTTGAAAAATTTGTAATGCACGAAGAGCTTAATTTTCATGATCAACATGAAATTTTCTAGCTATGAAATTAGCTAGCTTCCGGTTTTATTCATTGGTGTTGGGTTGTCGCTTGTTTTAATCGTCCAATATATAAAAAATCTTTTAAACAGAACAATGACTTTTCTATATTCTATGACTCAGTCTCAGTGGCAAAAGTTTGGGTGTTTATACTTAAAAAACACAAAAAAAGATATTTAGACAAATAATATCGCCCATTGTTTGTAATATTTGATTGTTTTTACTTTTCTTTGATTTTGAATTGTTTAATTTTATCCAAAACCTATCTTTTTGTGTACACATACGACTAAAAAGTTTTGTACGTACTTTCAACCAAGTTAATCCTTGGGTGTTAATCCGTCAAATATATGTTTTTTTAATTTTATTTATTTATTTAAAAGGGCAGATACCTAAAATACTCCTTAAAAAACGTTTTCCATATGAATAAAGTAAAAAATTATACATTTGTAATAACTATAATTAAAGAAGTCAAAATAGTTGAGAAAGTAAATTACACAATTGTAAAAGATTAAAGTAATAATTAAAAACCTATATATATAGATTAGAAAATAAACATAATCATTAATTTATTATAATTACATAATAAATAATCAGATCAATCTTCATTCCTCTAACTGTATAAGATTGAGTGTGGTAGAATTACCACTTCCAATTATAATAAAAAAAGAAAATAGTAAATATCTCCTGAATATTTTTAATAGCTGGGAAGTATGATCTATTGGTCTGTAAGGAATTATTCAATTTATCTATTATTCAATAAACTTCTGAATAAAGTTATTAACTATTTTCTGGCGTGGTTGATGCCAGAATGAGGAGGATAAAGATGAGGAATGTGAGGAACGAAGAAAATGGAAGAAAGTCGTTGATTATGGAGTGGAATTCGGAAAATTTAGGTGAGACAGTAATAATGGACAATCGATTCTATTCTTTATTAATAGATAAGTAAACACAAAAACAAAATAAACCCGACGAGATTGTAATGAAAATAAGTGAGCAGATTGGAGGTAAAAAATATTATACGAACTAAAAGAAATATTTAAGTTGAAGGAGATGAATTTAAAGAATTTATTTTGAATGTTTCTGACAGAGAAGATAACGAGACCAGTCAAGAGAAGTTATTTCAAGATTATAATGGGCAAAGGAGAAATAGAGTTGTTTAAAAGCTATAATATTATTGACATTATGAATATTGAAACATTTGATGTAAATCAACTTAAAATTTTATTTACTATCGATAAAACATGTAGTGCACAGGTCAGATTGATCTGAAACGTCCTAATTCTTTAATATAATTGACATTTAAAACAATGTTATTGTTAATATTACAAATAAAGTAGAATTTTTTAGAGCAACGGTCAAAAGTCGTAGGTTTTTGAAGCGTTTATAATCAAATCATTTTTATGAAACCATCGAATTATGACTGAAAAAGACTTTTTTAAGAGAATTATGTCTTGAACACTCGAAATTTCACGATAAATTTTAAGATCATGTGCAAAAAGACGCAAATTAACAGAAGAATCGGAATTATCAATATCGTTAATAAATAAAAGGCACAATAGTGGTCCTAAATGAGAGTCTTGTGGTGCCTCCCCCCTTTATATAATAAATAGCACGAATAGCACGAATTGCTTGAAGGGCGGTAAATAATATCATTTTCGTTTTATACATTTACTAGGAATACGAATTGGCCGAGCAATGCGGCCGTCTGTATGGAAACGTTTATATCGCAGAAACTGGAAAGATATTGCCTAGAAATGACAGACCTGGAAACATCCGAGTTATTTTCTTTCAGCTTTTCGAATTCGCTGTCGGTTTATTTCATCCCCTAGCTTCAATCCGACAATGAATGTTGTAATAAACAGAAATGTCGCATGTGAATTTGTTAATTTGCTACAAACGACGCACAAAGCTTCGAATAAATTGAACCGTCGGGGCGGAATGCTCTAAATATTTACTAGTAAGAATATCTACCCCTTCCTTGCGTGACAACCCACTGTTAAGGGATCGGGCCGGGTGATACTGTCAAGTGATTCTTCCCTATCCTTGCGCAAAGTTTTGTGTAGGATGTAAAACTTGAAAACCATATTTACATAATTTCCGTACATTTGGTTAACAGAATTATTTAATATCCGTGTTTTATTTACAACTATAAGGTTCTACTGAGCAGTAAAATAGTCTCCATTCGATTTGCTTGAACACCTTTCTTGTTAATGATTTTCAATAAAGATCTTCATTTTAAAATATGAACTACATATTCCGCTCTTCCATCATTGTTAGAGATATTTGTTAAGCATTATTTGTTTTTTCATCAAATATTTTCTTCAAAGCGCATCCGAATTCCACCATCAGTCTACTGAAACGAGTTCCGTTATATGTATGTATAACATACACCCGGTTTCTGATTTTGGTTTTTGCGAGATTTCTTTTTGAGATCTGCGAGGTGTTGGATTACCCGGCCGTTTCCGGACAAACTGGCCTGTCCTCACTGTTTGGGTCTGTCATTCTATCTTCCAGTGGCTCACACACCGAAACCAAAAAAATTCGGTGGCCAACCGCTACGCACTTACGTATGGCCTCCGAGTATCCTCCCGACCTCGCAGGAGACGGAGCGATCGGACTGCCGAAGCATATAGCGCATGAGGAGACAAAGACTACGCTGACGGAGTCCCCCGAATACGTAAGGAATGGTGGATGAGAACGGTGAAGTGCAACTTATAACCAATCCCGTTCCAGCGGCCTTTTGCCTGCCTACTCGTGGCGCCACCGTTAGGGTCACTAAGAGACTGAACAAAAAGAGGAACGCAGCCTGTTCGTTCGATGGAAAGGAGATGCAGCAAATACAGTTGGGACGGTTGTTTTCTGGGGTGAACCAGAAAAGGTGGCTTGTGATGCCCTGGGGGGGAGCTCGTGGGGAGGTTGCCTGCTGGAGGATCTCGTCGTAGAGATGCCGCAGAAGGGGGTAGATCATTCTCACGTGGCTATGAGAAGAATGCGAAAGGGCAGTTGGCTTCCGTAGAGCAGGTTTATTCTGAAAAGGTGAGGTTGTGAAGTCCTGGGAACGACTGGGCCAGGAGTTCAGGCATGGTGAGCTCCCCTTGGAGTCGTTGTACGCGACGTGACGCAGAAGAGAGGTTGTGTCTAGAGTCTGACTCATCTACGAGGAGGCCTACAAGAGGAGGAGCGAGTGAGATGGATATGTTACAATACGGTTGGGGCGGTTGGCTTCCGGAGTAGAGCGTGTGTATCCTGAAAAGGTGATCTCGCGAAGCCCTGGACGCTGCCGTGCCCGGAGCTTCGTGGGGTGGTTGCCTCTTGGACGATCTCGTTGTAGAGATACCGCAGAAGAGAGATAGATGGATCAGTCTCGCTGAGCTGTAATGTGAAGAAGGTTAACATTGAACGAACAAGTAGAGGGCAAGCGCATCTCGAAAATTCCCTTTTTTCTCAATCCAAATCCTGGGACTGTGCAGCGGGTGCTCCTAGGAGTCTCCAGCAGACCCTTCCCAACCTTTGTTTGCAAGGGAGGTTTCCAGGTACAAAATAATAGCCTTGAGAACGTGACGCACTTTCTAAAGCACAAGCTGCCCGAATTTCCTGGCGCGCATGATCGCCTTAAGCATCCTCTGCATGCATTTGGACGATAGGGCCAAGGAAACGTACACCGTGCGAGGACGCCAATACTATGCGTGTAGTCCTCGAGGTGTTAAGGGAGTTGTTGGCTTGCGAGCTGACCTCGGACGGGGGGTGCTGCATCAAAGGGTTAGCGTAGAAGATCCTGTCTATATATATTTATATATACGGACGGGGGAGGGTGTATAGCCATTTGAACTGTGGGGCAGCGTATTTTCGTTCCAAGTTCAAGCCTAGCTGCATGGGTAAGGACTCGCAGTAGCGTAGGGGTGAGACCCCTAGCGGGTACCTTGAAAAGAGGTTGTGTTTCATTTGTAGCCGTGGACCAAAGTACTTGCGTATGGCCTCCGAATTACATCCCGACCTCGCGGGAATCGCACCTGCTTTCTGAAAGCCCCTCGAAGGCAAGCGGACAATGTAGTGGGCGTCCAACCGGCGACGAATGATTTTATATCTAATGTCCAACTACGTCCCATTAACTGTGCACTGCTGCGTTGAGCGAGGAAAGATGAGGTAGTTAATTCCGTAAATCTCTTCCGTTCTCTGCAACCCCCCCCCCCTCCTGCCGCCGTTAAGACCTTTTGGGGGCTGAACTAAAGGGGAAACACTTTCTTGTGAGGAATGTAGCAAATACCGCACGTGTTAGGTGAACTGTTGGATGGGGAGTTGACGAAGAGGTGAGCTTGAGATCCGTCGGAACCACCTGATACCCGTGACCTTGAAGCCAGTAAAGGTGGATGGCTTCTTTCCTTATATACTTTTACTCCTTAATTACTTCGAAATAAATTTTTACCAGTTAAAGAGCTTTAAGAATTTGGTCAAAGTCCATCAGCCAATGTTACGGAGGCAACTGATATAATTTTATGTCCTATTTGTGATAATGTTATCGATAATGTTAATAAATATTAAACTCGTGATGATGTAAGATCAAATAACGGAGTAAGAGTTTTAAGTAAGATAATTAAATATTATAATTTAATAATGCATAATAATCATTAAACAAGAAATAACAGAATAAGAACTTTTTAACTTGTAATAAAAAGTAAAACGATTCATTGTTTAATTTAAATAAAGCAATTGTTATGATAATAAATATAAAACTCACTGCTTTATGATATCAGATCGGCTGTTAGATCTGTGGAACACCCTTTGTTGATTGTTGGCCACTTCGGCCTGGGTGACTGGAACCGACTGTTGCTGCTGCAGGATGACCCTTCGATGTGGTGTTTGTTCAGGGGCAGAACCGGTCTCATCGCTGTGTCTCCTGGAGATCAAGGTCAACGTCTGCGGGACCGCTTGGCCTCCTGGTGAGGACGTGGCACCCTGTACCTGGGCCGTCGGCAGCACCGCGCCGCTCGTGCTCCCCATCCCAGACGAACATGTCGAAGGCGCTTCGCTACTGGGTCCGGATCTGCTGTACACTCCCGAGTCTAGAACACTGTGGAGAATAAATTACGTCAATAATAATCCAATTGTTAATTTTGTTCGAATTGTGAAATCGAGTTGGACCAACAAGGCAGCTCGATTGGATCTGTTGACAACAGTTAGACCAGAATTGATCACTTCTGCTTCGCTTAACATTATTAATCGTCTTCTTTCATGTTCATGCTGTCAGAATTTACACGAACATATTCAATTTAAAGTCAAAATGATGTGAACAATTGGTTTAGAAAATGTGTCAGACAGCTCAGCCCTTCTCTTTGATTGATCATAAGCCTATGAATTGAAAAATCATGTTAGCAATTTGTTAACTATGCCATACTAGTTAATGCTTCATATTGAGTGCAAAGAGTGACGAAACCAAAACTGTGAGGACAGGAAAATACAAATGATCGGAAATAACCAACTACAAAAAATATTTTGATAAACTATTTAACTTTTAAAAAAATATGATGAACAATGTCTTCCTAACGGTATCCTAATTACTTTATTTTAATCCATATATCAATTTATAACCATAATTGACCGTATTTATAATTATAATTAATTATATTTTTTATCTAATGTATTGGTTGATATGAAAAAGCTAGTGACACGGCTCAATATGCCGCTGCTCTAACCACGCCACGATAGCTCAAGTGGTTAGAACAGCGGCGTATTGAGCCGAAGGTCGTGGGTTCGAATCCAGTTCATGACATTAGCTTATTCATCTCAAAAAAGACCTTAGATGAAAATTACAATTAATTAAAATTATTTTTATTTACGATTTCTTCTGAACCACCTCTCTCGCCTAGTTGAAATCAAGATCTTTTTTCCTCAGTCAAACATCTATCTAATTTCCCTTGGGCTAGTTCTATTGGCGCTAAGGAATCAAGTTAGCCGTTCAGCATATTAAAAAGAAGAAAAAAACAATTGAAACGATGATTCATATTCCCTTACACTGAGTGCCAGTATTGGTTGGTTTCTCCTGGCATGTATCCTTCGCAGCACTAACAATAGTGTTAGTTTTGTGACAGAGTGAACAAAAAAAAAACATTGTGAACACATTGTTAATATGCACAAATATGTTTAGGCTACAAATATAAATAATAAATACTTATAGTTTGGCTTAGGCTCAACAAGGGTATGTTTCGTCTGATAGTCTCAATCAAGATCTTTGCGTACCGTTCATTGAATATGGTTTGCACTGCAGGCGATATTCTGGATGAGCATTTAAGAATAAGGTACTACGTCCCGTCTCCGAGTAAAGAAAATCGTTTGGGACATAAAAAAGTTCTCGTATTAAGTACCTGTGTGTTGTTTGTATGGTATCTAGCATAGGATAATTCTCGAGATACTATCAAACAAGGAATATTTGTTTGGAATAGTACATACTGCTTAGTTAATAGATTTTTTCAATGAGCGTTTTCGGCTGGTTTGGTTTTAGCATTTTTTTTAAATGTCGCTTATCGCTATGGTATTAGAAATATTCCGAGGTAATTTATTGTTCATCATATAGCATCTTTCATTTCTATCAAATTTTTTCACAATTTCCGCAATTCGTATTATTTGATGATCTAACAATTAAAGGGACTTGTGAGGAAAGATATAGGGAAATCCAAACCTTGGCCCACCTTTTATCCGATATTACTCATTCTTTTAACATTCTTGTTTAAGTTTCTCTTACATTTTTATCGGAAACTCAAAATCGAGTAAACTGTCGGGAAGCGTAGCATCGGATGAAGTTTAAATGTGCAAACTTTGGGCAGAAGTCAAGAGGGAGTTGATTAACAATAATTTTCAACTGTTTCTTAATTTATTTAAAAATCGTGTCTACTTTCTCGCGTGTTTCATGTATACGTCGCATTTAATTTGTACATTTTTATAATGTAATTTTATTTTGACGACATCGTATAAAAATAAAAATGGTATCTAATCCAAACAGAAGAAATAAATAGAATATTACATATATACCTATTGTTTCCTCTTCTGTGTGTTGCATGTTTTTTAACATTATTATTATAATTTTTTCAATTAGTGTAAGTATACATTTTTCTTTTAGCTAGTGTATCAATTATTTATGAAACTGATAATGTAAATTAATATATTGTAATGAATTTTAGATTATTTTGGTGTGGCTGGCAAAATATGGTTTCACATATGGTTTCAACAAGATTCGGGCAGCGGATGAGTTCTTGAAGGTAAATTTTCTCCTTCGAAATTATTTTACGTTAATTAGTATTTCATTTTTTATATATTTTTAAACCTCCATTTCGGACAATTTTTGTTCGTTCAATAAACACTGTTCTTGTCTGAACCAAATTGCCATTTGTTTCAACAGTTATATCCAACGGAAATAGATATACATTACGGGGAATTGTGAAATTGTGATTAAAATTTGAGAAATTGTGCGCGTTTCCTACGCAGTATTAAATATAAATCAGATCAGATAACAGAGGAAACATTGAATTCTATCTGTTTTAAGACCTTATTGGAATATTTAGTTTTTCAATTAGTCTCTCGTAAACGAAACTTTTAAACCTTTAGAATTTCTGTGAAATGACGTCAATCAGGAAAAGTTGTTTAAATATGGATGTACCTTTCCTTTAATTAAACCAAATAAAAAGAGGGATTTTGCACGTTATAAATAATTCAATTCACAGTATTATTTTTATTTGTTATTATTACGTTTCTATCCAAACTTTTCACAGTTAACAATTTGTTGGTAACCTTCAATAAATGGTCTCATGGGGATGAGGGAGACGCCGGCCATTGTTGGTACTGTCAATATTCAGGATTGTCGATGTTTAGGTATGTGTGTATGTGTTATAGGAGGTCACGATGCCACGGTCTTAGGGTTGTAAGGATGGGACGTTGAAGAGAGGGGCTGAGCTGGTGGTTTGGTGTGCGAGGAGAGCTTGGAGTGGAAGTTGAGGAATCGTGTTTGGATCATCTCCGTCAAGAATGAGATATCTAGGCTTTGTTTAAGGTTTGGTTACTGACGTAGAAGGGAACGTTGAGGATGCGACGGAGAACTTTTGATTAAAAGGATTGGATTCTTTGATAGTTGGACGGCTCATCTTAGTCCCACAGATCGACTCCGAAAGCCCAAATCAGCTTAATTAGTGTCTCGTATATTGTTGGTTTGTTGTGTGAACTCTTTGTAATTTGGGTCAAAGTAGGCGACTGAGTTATTCGTGCCTTCGGCACAGTTGTTGTCTTTTTATGTGTATGTTCCATGTAAGTTTGCTGTCCAAGTAAAACCCATGGTCGCGGATTTGGTTGGATGGAGGGATTACTTTACAGTATATGTGCACTGGTGGGTAGGTACTTCTAAGTGTGAACGTCCCGTGCCGGCTCTTTTGTTCATTTAGCTAAAAGTTGTATTGGGGTCTAGATGGTCTTGGGTTGCTTTTCAGCAAGGATAGAGCGAGAGTATGATGAGAGGATTGCGGTGTCGTTCGCGAAGTTCGTGATGTGGGTGTTAGGTTGTGTAAATATGCCAGCGGTGTGGTATGCACAGGATTGGTCCTAGGATACTCCCTTGAGGAACGCAGCCCTTGATGGGTTCGATGTATGAAATTTCAGAGCCAATTCTCACCTTAAACCAGCGATTCGCGAGGAAGGAGTTCAGGATGAGATAATAGTTGTGGGGAAGAATACCCTGTCTTTGTCAAATGCGTCTGTAACAGCTAGAAAAAGCTTATTTTCTAGGGCAAAGGTCTAAAACCAAATTGATGGACGAGGATAGTTTTATCAGAGTTGAGGATTAATCTTTTAAACAATAGGTGTTCAAAGCATTTATCTAGAATTATAAAAGGCTTATGAGGATGGGTTGCCAGGGAATTTGTTTAGTTTGGGAATTGTGGTTATGAGAGAAAGTTTGCACTGAATGGAGAAGTGTATTGTGCGGATTATGGCATTGAAAATGGTTGTAATGAATGCAATTACTTTTTAGGTAGCTTTTTAAGAATTTTGGGAGTTATGAGGTCTTGTCCTCGGGATTTCTTAACTAGGAGGCGGTTAATTTGGTATTTAACTTTAGAAGTATGGAGATTAGAAGGCGGTGGGAGAGAAAGAGGGGAATTGAGGAATTTGGCGATTAGAGCTGAGTGATGTGTTGCATTCAGATCAGATGAGTAGTGAATACCTCTCTCCATAGTAAAGAAAAATTTTTTACTAAATTTTTTGTTTTCAATTTTAGAAAACTTCAACAGAAGATAATCTTCAACAGCTAAAAATGGTTCGAATTGGTTAACCGGTTTTCTGAAAAAAAAGTTGGTTAAAAAGGCTTTTGCAGCGGCTTTTCTGATATTGCTTGGGCCAAACATTTCCAAAGTTTTGTTGGACATTTCATTCCTGCCCTCATATTTATCACATCTCTGAAAAAATCCCCATCGAGTTAAAAAATATAGAATCCATATTGATACGTGCAAATTAAAGAATAGGTTTTTGTTTGAATCTGCCTGACAGAGCAGCTTAACAAAAAAGTATAATAACAGGCGTATCACAAGGTGGTATTTTTGGCTTCTTGATCTTTTACATTTTCCAACTTTGACTCAATGCACAACTTGCAGATTTTATCTACTCCGACTAGTAAAATTTTATCTACTAAATCTCTGACTAGTAGAACAAAAAAATTTGTGAATTTCAAAATACGTCTACAATACTTATGCATCATCCAATGTGACAGTTCAACTATGAAATAAAAACTTAGACTGTCCTTGATGCGATGCAATTGAGTGTTTATATGGCTTACAATGGGAAAATATGGGTAATCAACAAGCCCGTTTCTCCAAGAACTCTTCCGTAAAATCAAATTGCCTCAAAAAAAGGAGTAATTACCGAATGGATCAAGTTGATTCATACTCGATGGAAGAAAGGCACTAGAGCAGTGGAAGGCAGAATAATTACTCAAGATTAGAAACGTGTTAGTAGAATACAGAGCAATATATAAAAAAATAATTTTATTTATAAAAATCTTCTGAAGCTTGCAGACAATCGAATCTATGGTTAAGCTTTCTTTTAAATTACGTAAAGGGCATTTTAGTACCATAGTGTCTATAAAATGTTGTTTGAACGATAATTTAGGGGCCAACATTAAACCCAAAAATTTGTATAAGTTTACTACCACAGAATTTTGATTTCTATAGATCCCAGCTCTTTTGCATCCAATCTATCTCCTCTCAAAAATACAATAATTTTCTTCTTGTCGAGGTTCACAGACAAGTTCCAAGCATCTTAGTACTTCTCTGAGATAGATAGTATCAGATGGACGGAAATCCTAAGGATCCTCAGTGATAATCATAATGATATATATATGTTCCACCAGACCTCCCTTTTCGAACTCATCTTCTTTAATAATATCTTAAACCCGCTTGAATTACTTTTAGTACATAATTTAAACATAGAAACTGTGTTAATAAATTAATTAAATCCACTGAACTTCTTTCCCATACATTTCATTCCCGCATTGTACAACGTATTTTCTAAATAAACAAACCTCCCGAAAATGTTCTCTTATTACCTTGGCGGTGTGGATGTTGTTGTTTGCGATGGAGGCGATGGTGATGGTGAAGGTGGTGACGGTGCTTGCGATACAGGCCTCCTGAAACAAAAATCGAAAAATTGTTATCAATCAATTAAGATTTAATCCAATCGGAAGGGCGAGGGCGTTTAGAACAAGTATAAATCATCCTTCTTACTAGAATTTATGGAACGGTCCTATCGATTTTCATTTTCCGATAGGGACATTCTTAATAATCCCTTTCTCCTATGAAAGATGGATGAATAATGACCTGGTTCGAGTGTGACACACACTTTAGGAAAGTAACAATCATTCATGATAGATTTTTTTGTGACATAATAATCACACCGTCTAGAAAACTTTTAAACATCATTTTAAATCGAGTAAAAGTTATTTTGTATGTTTTAAAAATTACATCCATATTGTTTTCAAATAAAGACAGTTTTTCAAATATTAAACTCTGGAGAGGGTCTGTGATTAAAAATTATGAGTAATTATGAATTGTCATAATCTTTATTACGGATATATTCTCTATTTTTGAATTGAACTTTATATTTTTATTACTTTAAATTTATTTTTTAATTTTTCAGTTGGTTTTTTATCTTCCCATCTGATACACGCGTTTTGGATTTAGAAATGTAAAGCTGGACAGTTTAATGATTAAATAATGAAAACGTGCAATAAAATATTTTTTACAAAAAAAAGTTCAACAATTGAAGAAATTTTTGACAGCATTTCATGATGCGCTATCGGAGGAGTTTTCTGTGTTTTAAAATTGCAATTTTACTATCACATTAAAACATTAAAATACACACATTTATTTTGATGAATATGAGGAAAATATTTCGAATCCTCTTATAATTTCTTTTTCAACTGTTTGTATATACAAGGAGTCAAATTTAGAAATTTTTATACCACCCTCTAAGAAAATATTTAAAAAAAATATCCGTAAAACCGCCCTCCCCCTATTGCCATACCGGAAATATTTCGAATCGAGTATTGTGTAGAACTTCGTCAAACTTCGCGTCAAAACGGATTGTTCGGTGTACATTGTTCTTTTGTACTCGCCACTTCGAAACTACAAAGTAAACATTTACCTGATAAACAAACGTAGAGTTTAACTACCGTTGGAACGTATAATAATTGTTCTGATGACAATGAAATAGTGTCGATATAACAATCAAGCTCAGGCTAAGTATATCTAAAAGGAAAGGATTTTATACTTAGAATGTTTTTAAATGAACTCAACAACCAGGAATTTTTTTGTCTGTTTTAATTTTGTTTATTTACATAAAATTGGACACAATTCATCAATAAATGCATTATTTTGTTGATGCATTGAATGATCAGCATTTCAACAAAATTAATAATCTATTATGCCCCCATCCATTAAGCCGAAACAGGTGTTCCGAAATGCTTCGTCCTTTGTCCCATTCCCTAATCAGCAAACACTGTTTTTTCTTTTAAAGCATCTCCATTAATTATAACTATCACCTGTATTTTTAACATTAAAAATAAAAATTATTTGTATCATAGCTTCTAGATACACTATATCATAAAAGGAGTTCCGCAAGGCAGCTTGTTAGGTCCTATTCTATATTCCGTATACATTCTTATTAATCTCGGTGAGCACTTCCCAGGCAGATAACATTTTCATCCTTTTAATAATTCTAGACACAAGTAGTGAATTTCAACAACCTCCAGGACCTCCTGTTTAGAAGGTTTAAGAAATAGAGAATCAAAGCCAACGAAACCCAGTAAATCATCATTACCCATCGCCGTACCTCTCCTACAAATGACTCTTTTTCTTTCCCTGCAACCAATGTCGAATGTTATTTGGGACTTTATTCAGACAAAAGACTTACCTGGAACCCCAAACTCGACTAGAAGATAAGAACTGCACAGACGAAATAACTCAAAAGACTACTGCAAAATAAACATCTATACTATCATTAATAGAACAAATCTGGATGTACAGAATTGAACCGTATGGTTCATCCAACTGTTCCAACCTCCCATCCAGTCGCTGCAGAACGAAATTCTTCTACTTCCCATGCTCTTTCTTCATCTATTTCCACATCCACGCAAATGAAATCCCATTTGTCCTGGAAACTGCAAAGTATCGTTACAGACGCCTCCATGAAACCTTCGAACTTGATCCCAACCCTTTAGACCAATTGCTTTTCATTTTAAATACTTCCTGACAGAAGGTTATAGCGCCATTGGCCTCGTGATTTCCCTCCTGATGAGGAAAGTGAATAAAGTTGGTTTAGAAGTATAATTAAAGTTTTAATTCTCCATTCCACATAATATAATAATACAAATCATAATAAAATATACCTATCGGGAGAGTAGTTCGCACATAGGATTTATCTCAACATTAATTATGTTATCAACCATATTTTTAAAAATATTGTTCGTTGTTGAAATATTATTTAAATATTTGAAAAGTAGAAACGCATAGATTTGTATAACGTTTGAACAATTGTCATTTGCTATTTTAGGCTTGATAAGAAATCTTTGGATCCCATCTATCGCAGCAATAACGGTCTAAATTTGAAATTCAATGACTTTTTTTCTGTTTCAGCAGATTTGAAAATTCTCGTTGCGCTGTATCCCTCCGCAGCTTCCTGCCGGTTCGGATGAGATACGCCCTCTGGGAAAAATGTAAAAATATTCACCATGGATAGTTGTGATTTTGTTAAACTTTATTCCGATTTGCTACATCGGTTGTTACGACTTTCATAAATCCGTTGAGGGGAAAAAGTTAAATATAAATAAAATGAAATTATATTTGCAGAAGTATTAAAACATTGAACAAAACGCCAACGGCGTGGCAAAGTTGGCAGAATCTTTGACAGATATTACATTTATTGGAAAATGAAAGAGACATTAGAGAAAAATTAAAAAATATTGATAAAAAGTTATCTCAAATATCTTCGAGGGAGGGTCAAGCTCCCAGACAGAACACTATTTTATCTCCTATGGGCTTATAATTTATTGAAAATGTGTGTAATAAATTTACAAACTAAGACCTTGTACTGATTAAAAAAGAATTAAAACACTCTTTAAAAAAGTCTTAATTTAAGGTCTTAATTTAATTTTTTCTAATTCACAGTCCGCCCTTAAGCAACGTCCTAATTTTCTGAGAGTCAGTAAATTAAAAAAGTAAAAATTAAGGTAAACTGATTACCAGTTCAGGATCATGTGCATGAAAATTATGATGAGGAATCAGCTGTAATAATCAGTTTATGGTAAGTGGCATTTGTAATTGGTCCCTATAGGTCCGTAAGACGTCAAATCTGACAGATTTTGACGTTTAACTGCAAAATTATATCTTATAAGTTAGATGTCTTTGTCAAGAAAATGTCTCGATCATTAACTCATTATTTCTTTCTCTCTCTCGTTAATTCTACGATAGGTCGTTCCCGACCTAAGTTTGCCAGACTTTTTGATTTTATTTATATATTTTATTCATTCTCTTTCTTTTACTCACTTACTCACTCAGTCACTCAATTTCTCTCTCTCTCTCTCTCACTCTCTCTCTCTCTCACTCTCTCTCTCTTTCTATCTATCTATCTATCTATCTCTCTCTCTATCTATCTGTGTGTGTGTGTGTGTGTGTGTGTGTGTGTAAATTTCATGAGGTGTTTCTAATCGAATATCGAATTTTTCGTGCAGAATATTTTAATTAATTCTGTAAAGTAAATAGGTTTCCTTACAGAAAATCTAACGTTTTCTCAGGTGGAACAAACCATATTTTTCTACAGTCAGTAAGTCGGTGGATTTAGTGGACCTAAGTCGAAAAATTAAAAAAGAAACAAAAAACCGAAATTGCTTCTTTACCGTTGATATTTGGACAGGGGTTTATAGAAAGTTTTTTGTTGCATATGGTGAGTAAAACACATGAAAATTTGGACACTTATGGCAAGTCACCCTATATTGGATTTGGATTTTTATAGGAACAAATCCGCTCATGTACGTACAAACCGAGTTGACCCTATTCGCTTCTCGTAGTCAACGGTAATTCCACCTTTTGCTATTTACAGTAAACTGCCGGCAGACCCTAGAATCACTCACCCCGAGTGTTGGCAGACCGGGGCAGACCTCAGTCTTATCCGTCCAGCCACCGAAGTTGGGGCTCCGTAAGAGGGGTGATGTCGACTACTAGGTCAATTTAACACCCAACGCATGCAGTTCCAAATCCTTTCCTATAGTCGTTCATTCTTAATTACATTAATTTCTATTTACATATCATTCATTCAATTAGGGTCGTGGAGTACTTGATATTCCGCCACCGACCCTCTTACAACAAACAATCTCGCTAATAATGCATTGACGCTAATAGATACTTTCACCCTCAATACCAGCCAGTTATACAAACTATTATAATTATATACAAGTGAACAACCACGTATCCTCCAAAAATCGAAACAGCGGACCCAAATACTGGCTGTCATGCTCAAGCACAATTCTCAAATCGGGAGGTATTTCTGCGCGATCTCTGTACGGAGAGAAGGAATTGCATCCTTCAATTAGGTGGGACAAATCGCGCAACCTTTCTCTGCATACACTCAAAAGAAGAAAAGTTATTATCATTATCAAAAACTGTTATCTAGCTTTGCATATCTATTTTCTTCGTTTTGTGTTGTTATGCCATTATTAGAAAAGTTTCATTTTGATTTTGACGAGAAAAGGTTGAGAAACGCATCGGGATAAAATTTTTAAAAAATTAAAGAAAAATAAAATCTTAAATACCTTGCTGACGTTGCTTTCGAGGGCTCCAGCGGAGTATAAACGACAGCTTTGAACTTTTCCGCAGACATGATTTCATTTCACCGGTCGGCGCTTTAAAAAAATAACAAATACAAAATCATCCTCATTTCTAAAAAGCGACTGAACGGTTTACACATCACTTCTTATCAGTTAGAATGACGCAACTCGAGAGCTGTCTTCCTCTCGACACTTTATTTGCACCGATTACGAAAACGTAATCGTCGATAATAATATCTTCGAATTATTATTTGTTACACAGTCGTAAGTCAAATTACTTACTTGCTTTATATATGAATAAATTCAAA